GATCATCAACCGTAGTTCTTTGTCCTCTCGGTCTGGGCCATGGGAGCCCTCTGACTGGGCTTTGGATTTCCGGCTCGGATTTAGGGTTTTAGGGTTTTAGGGTTTTAGGGTTTTAGGGGCTTTAGGGTTTTAGGGTTTGGGGTGGTTTAGGGTTATTGGTTTAGGGTCTAGGGACAATCGGAGCACTTGCAGGGAAAATCGATGATGTCCTCATGAACGGCCACTGTGCGATGTTGGTTTGGCGGGGCCATGTTCTAGTGACAGATGCAAGAATGGCACACGACAGCTGCGATTGCCCTCCCGCGCTTCCGCAATTCCATTTTGAAGGGACGGCCACCAAACTACATCGCTTCAGACAGTATTCAATGTAGTGCGTTCATGGCTACATAGCTTCCATGCCCAACATGGGCAGAGAGCTCAGGCACAGACACGCCGTCAGCCGAAGCAATAAAGCCCGAAATCAGTAAACAGACCTGAAGCCAACCCTAAACCCCGGCTAAACCCATCCCACGGCTCCCCCCCCCTAAAGCCTAGAAACCCTAAACCCTAAACGGCCCTAAACCCTCAGCTTGCCACAGACACAAAGAGAACCTCCTCCCGAGCCTCTGCCTCGGAGCTGCCCTCAGAAGCCTCCTTTTCAGGGCCGCCCAGAGGGCTCAGAGGGCTTTGGGCTCGTCGGGTTTGCCTATCGGGTTGAGGCTCAGGGCTTAGGGCTTATATGGTTTAGGGTTTACGGCTTATAAGGTTTCGGGCTTAGGGCTTACATAATTTAGGGTATGGGACTTTTAAGGCTTCGGGTTTACACAGCGGTATCAAACTTGTGCAACAAGACGACGGGTGCCTAATTGCCTGCACCACATAGGACCCTTGTAGAAACCCCTATAGAGACCCTTATAGATCCCTTTAAAGGAACCCTAAAACGGGACCCTACCTTAGAGAGGCAGAGCCTCTCCCCGATGCTGCGACGTGGACGAAGCCAGGGAGTCGGAGTGAGACCTCGCAGGGAGCGAGAAAAAAAAGCCCTGTTCCGCAAATTCAGGCATGAAAGGCAAGAAGAGTGGCGCCAAACCCCTGAGCTTCACTAACCCCACGAGGCCTAAACTCCTAAGCCCCTGCCTTCTCTCGCCTAAAACCCTAAACCCAAAACCCTAAACCCGAAAACCCTAAACCCTAAAACCCCAAACCCTAAAACCCTAAACCTTAAGCGGCTTCTTCGTGCCTGGAGGCCCTCACGTCGAGAGTGGCCGCCTGGCCGTGGGTTACCGGGGTCCACAAGACAAGCATCCCCCATCTTTCGTAAACGCTAGGGTTTAGGGTTTGGGGTTTAGGGTTTGGGGGTTTAGGGTTTTAGGGTCTAGGAGTTCAGGGCTTTAGGGTTCTAGGGTTTAGGGCTTAAGGGTTCTAGGGTTTTAGTTTTTAGGGTTTAGGATTCAGGGTTTGGGGTTTAGGGCCTCCTTCGAGGGGTCCTACGAGGCTTTGCGTAAGGGCTTCCTGCAACGAGTCTATAATGTTCCTGTGCGAGTTGTGTGTGAGGGTTTTTGAAGGGGTTCATTGAAGGTTCCGTGCAGGGTTCCGTAAGGCCGTAAGGATTTAAGGAATTGGGGGCAGTAGCCGTACGGGTTGACGGGGCGTCCTTTTTTGGGGATTTCGAGGGCTCGGGTCCCGCAGTTATGGCGAACTGTCACCAGATGGCAAAGGTTGGTAAGACTTGAAGCAGAAACCCAACATGTCATAAACAGACTTGAAGACGCATCCTTCGAAGTTGACGTGAGCTGCCCCTTCGATCTCAACAGATTCAAAAAGGCCGACAGTCCCACAAAACAGAGCTCTTGTTTGCATGCAGCCCCAAGAACTGCATCGTCTCGCCCAGTGTTGCAACTGGCTGGACAAGGCACGACCGCATTCCCCAGCACTCCGGGACGCGCCTCCGCGCTCGTCGATGCACCGATGCCTTCAGCTGAAACCCTAAACCCTAAACCGTCTGGACACAGGCCCTTTTAGGTTTCGGTGCTCGACTCGAGCCTTAAACCCTTTAGAAGGGGACGCCGTGGACGGGTGTTTGTTCTACACTAGTTGTATTCCTGTGACTGAAAAGTAGCAAAAATATTGGATTAAAAACCACTTGTGTTGACAATGCGCCCAAACCCTTCAGCTTTGGGTTCAGATCATCGTGCCATCCCCACCTTCAACGATCAACATGGTCCGATAAAGCTCACTGTGCACATGCTCCGCACCTTGAGGATCAGCCGTGGCGCCATCATTGCTGGAGCTGCTGGGACGTGTGGCGTCGCGTCCTGCCAAGCATAACTGGGCCAAGGCGACTTTGGGCCGGAAACTCCTCGAGCTTCAAGACTTCGTCTACGAGTCTAGCAGAATGAAAAGTTGACATGGGTATCGGAAAGCAAGACTCGAAAAGGTCTGGTGTCGACAGAGTTGAGACGTGCAGAAAACTTGGCAAGCGCAAACTGCGAATGCAAGACATCCAGCTTGAATATCCGTCCTACCGTGCTTCCAGGACATGTGCTGGCTGCCATGCCTTGATCCCCTGGACTGGGCTTCGCGGAAGCACCGCCGCCACTTGGGCTGCGAGGCTGCGCATTCGACCTCGTCGACGCACGGCCTCCCAGGTCACGCGGGAACATGTCGACCTAGAGCTTCTGGACTCAAAGATCAAAGCGGACTGAACTCCCACTCTTGTGCCCACACGGAACATCAAACAACCAGAAGCTCAAAGCAACTGTGTTGCAAAAACACTTGAAGCCAACCCCTCGACTCCATGGGAGAAGGGAACGTTCAACTGCGTACAGGCCCGGTCCATGCAATAAGAGCATGGCTCCTAACCCCACCCAACCTTCAATTCTTAAGGCGGACGACCATGTCAGCAAGTATGCTGCCATGCCTTGATCCCCTGGACTGGGCTTCGCGGAAGCACCGCCGCCACTTGGGCTGCGAGGCTGCGCATTCGACCTCGTCGACGCACGGCCTCCCAGGTCATGCGGGAACATGTCGACCTAGAGCTTCTGGACTCAAAGATCAAAGCGGACTGAACTCCCACTCTTGTGCCCACACGGAACATCAAACAACCAGAAGCTCAAAGCAACTGTGTTGCAAAAACACTTGAAGCCGACCCCGCGACTCCATAGGAGAACGAAACGTTCAACTGCGAACAGGTCCTAACAGCTCACAACCTTCAAAGCTTAAGGCGGACACCACAATGTCAGCAAGAATGCTGCCACACCTTGATCCCCTGGACTGGGCTTCGCCGAAGCACCGCCACCACTTGGGCTGCGAGGCTGTGCGTTCGACCTCGTCGATGCACGGCCTCCCAAGTCATATTGGAATCTAAACTCAACTATTAAAGCAGGTTGAACGGCTTCAATCTTGTTCCAAAACGGAATATCAAACAACGGGAAGCTCAGAGAAACTGTGTTGCAAAACACTGAGAACCGAAACAGCGCCTGTGGGACAAAATGCTGGCTGCAAGGCCAAACCGCCCAATTCCGTGTTTGCATCGAAATCCGACCGACAAGACCCAAGGTGTGGGTAGTTCTTTAAATTAGGGTCCCTTTTTGGGTCCCCCATATAGTACGGCAGCCTTATAAAAAGGACTCTATAAGGGACCCTGATTTAGAGAACTACCCATGGGTAGCCCCACCTTCAGCCTGCGGACTGGGGCTCGCCATGGCGCCGCCGCTGCATGGAAGGCAAGACAAGGCAGGCTTAGGGTTGAGGCGGGTTGAGCTTTTGGGTTTGGGGAGGGCTTTCAGGTTTAAAACGTCTAGGCTTCAGGGATGTTTAGGGTTTAGGGTTTAGGGTTTAGGTGGAGGGTCCGGCTTCCGTCTGGCTCGGGGTTTAGGGTTGAAGGTATAGGGTTTGGGGTTTAGGGCTTCGAAATCCATGCTTGAAATTCCGGAAATGCAGCTCCTGTGCTGCTGAATCCTGCATGCTTAACCGAGTAAACACTTGCAAAACCACGGGCGTCGAGAATCAGAAGCCATGCATGTTGCCAGAGTGTTGCCGCTGACGTCTTCAATGAACACTTCGGCCCGCGGCCGGGAGACAGTTATAAGCTGGCTTTAGCTTAAAACCCCTCCCCTCCCAGCAGAAGGGGCTTAGACAGGCTGTGCAGGCGCTGCAGCGCGGTCCTTTTTTTGGAGCCTTGTCCAGCAGAACGGTTGGGAACTCAGCTCCACGACTGCACACTCGGCGGGGCATGTATCAAGTACCAGAAAAGTGGTGCTCACCTGACCTGGCCCCACAAGGCTTCTCTTCGCATCTTCACGTATTCTAGCACTTGCGCCCGTGCCCCGCCCAAATAGAGAATGATTAAAGAAGTTGCAGATCCACGACTTTCTGGTGGTCTAACCATGCACTTAAAGAAATTGTTTTTGAAACTGAAACGCCTTTTGGTCGGTCGATCCTCAAAGGCCAGGCTTTCAAGACCAAGCTTCCACGGTGTAACCTCGAGTTGTTCAGGAACACCGGCTTCACAACACTCTGGAGTCACTATAGCACTCTTATAGACTGTTACTGCATGGGGGGGGTAGTACCCAAGGAATACCCTTAACTGAGGCAACTAGGGCGTTTAGGGTCCCCAAGTCAACAAGAATCAATTCTTCCTTCTGAGCCGGCAGCGGCCCTCCATCTTCAGGTTGGACAGGGTGGCCTCTGCCTCCTCCTCTGTACATCTCTCGTTGGCCATCACAACCTGGAGACATGCCCCAAGCGAGGTTCAACGGCATCCTCCTAGAACACCTTCCAACCCCAACTGGCGTTGTCAATACGTTGCAATCACCACTCTCGGCCTTGCCTCCTTCATGGCAGTGTAGATGTCCTCGGGCACTTGTCTGGCAGAGCCACATACGTAGAAGTGGCCTCCCTGCTTCAGCATGAGCTCGGCCACCTCTTGCCCTGCCTGAGCTCCAAGAGCCAACATTTCACAGTTCTTGTTTCGCAAACAGTCCGCTCGGAGTCCACCCACTTGATCTACCCGACGGCCTCCACAATTCGGTGCTGCACATAGATCTTCCGTGCCTGCAGCAGCTGACAGGCACAAATCGTGCTGCAATGCCATCTTCAATTGTGCAACAATTTGAAGACAAGCTGCCTGTTCACGCGAGAAGGCAGTGTGCATCGCCAGGACACCCTCCCGAACATAACTCTCGAACTCCTCCCGGTAGAGATACTCCTGAGAAAAGCAGTTGCTAGCTCGAGGATCAGATGCTGCAGCCCTGATGCCAAGTGGCAACTGCGTAGCGAGCACCAAAGAAGAGCAGGCACTTGCCCACTTTGGTACCTTGTCGGCTCTGCATCACCCGCTCCTTGCGAAGGAACTGGTGAACTCAAACCCTTCACTTCCTCCCCGAACCGTAGATCGTTCTCAATTTCAAAAACTGTCTGCAACAGCACTTCTTAAGATGTCTCCTGCGTCACAGCACGCCATGGGGCCAGACCAGTTCCCATGCCCGCCATAAGGACTGGCTTGGTCGGGTCCTGGCAAAAGCAGCTGCAAAGTGCGCAACTCGCATCTCGAAATGAGGCACAGCCGCTTACCACTCCTCTGGCAGCACGATGGCGCTCTGGCGGACAGCGCACATGATCTGTGCACCGGGCTTCTGCGTCTGCATGTAGCCTCTGCACGAGCAGGTGAAGAAGCATCCGAATATACGGAAAGAACTCATGGATATGCGGAGCCAGGCCTGTGCATTCGCCAAGGCGGAGTTCATTGGCGCTGTTTACGGTCCAGTCCACCAGGACCACACAGAGCTGGATCCTGTCCGGATGCATCAGCGGCGAGCTGGCGATGGAATAGCTCCTGGGCTTGAGCACCGGGATCATCTGCAGCAGCTGCTCGATGGGCGGCCGGGCACTGGAGAACTTCTTAAAGACATCTGCATGGTGGGCAAAATCATGGACTAAGTCCCTGTAGAGAGCGGAGCCTTCTGCGTTGTTCTCCACGATGCTCTGCAGCTGCTTCTTCTCCGCCTCATCCTTGGTGAAGAAGGATAAGGTCTCGAAGAACTTCCGGTTCGGCTTGCCGAAGATGTCCAGCACGTGAGTGAAGAGCTGCCGCACGCTGAGCTCTGTGGGACACCAGTTCCTTGCACCTTCCAAGGGAAGGACGCGCAGCTGCTGGCCGGCATCGAAGCCCATCATCCTGCAGAATTCCTCCGCGGCTGGCACCGGGTTTCGGGGCCAGATGGCCAGGCTCTCACCCGTCTTGTAGCTCACGGAAGTGCCTTCGATCTTGAACTCGTAGTGCCTGATGTCCCGATCGTACTTAGCATCACCTGTCAGCACCTTGTTGCACAAGAGTTCCAGCTTGGTGGCGCCTGGCGGCACGATATCGTCATCCTTGACGGGGGGCTTGTCCACGGTTCCTGGAGACACATCCACTCGGTAGCAGGGGGCCGGAGGATCTGAAGAGAGAGGCAGCGCAGGTGCTCCCAACACCTTCCAGAGCTCAGGGAGCCACGCCTCCCAGCCGGTGTAGTAGCGGTCTTCGTCGCGGTCGTCGCCGACGCCACGCTGCAGCATGCGCTGGGCACCCAGCTCGGCAAGGCGTGTGTCGAAGCCCACGGCTGCCACACAGAACTGGCTGTAGGTCGAGTCGCCCAAGCCGAAGACGCAGAACTTCACGCCGGCAAGCCAGGTCATAGGCAGGTCGGGAGACTGCAGCTTCATCCAGGTCTGCTTGCAGTTGGCGGGGTATTCACCAAGACCGCAGGTGGACACCACCAAGATGACGATCTTCTGATTCGGCAACTCCTCGAACTCGAAGTCGTCCAGAGAGCTCACTGAGGCCTTCAAGCCACGGGCATTCAGGTCCTGCTTCAGGTTCTTCGCCTGCTCCTCGGAGTTGCCAGTCTCGCTACCGTAAAGCACCGTGATGGAGTCGCCGGAGCTCTTGGCATCCGAGAGACCCTCCACCAGTTTGCTGAACTGACCCTCCAAATCTTCCTGGTCGGTTCGTCAGCTTGAGCTGAGGCAACACAAGCCAACTCAATGCAATTTCAAGTTTCTAGAACCAGCCTTGTTCAGGACCTGCAGAAGATGGTTCTTCTGCACCACGTTCTCCTGCAGCCTGTCGTCCAGCTCCTGCCAAGTCCATTCAACCATTCCGTCCCACATGCACTAACACTAGCTTACAGCTCGCGCCCTCGGCCGCTTCCCCTCCTGGGCGTGCTTCGGATCGCGGCGCATCACTGCTGCAAAGCGGTTCTCCTGGCGACCCAGCCCGATAACCAAGACATCGCAAGACCTTCACCCTAGTCAGCTTGCCTTAGCCAGGAACTTGAAGAGGTCACCCTTGATCTTGCGGCTGTCCAGCTGGAAGGGGTTGTTGCCATTTTTCGCTAGCTCCGGGTGGTAGCGGTAGAGGGGCCAATATCCAGAGTCCACGGCCATCTGACAGTGCTGGATGGACTCAGCCATAGGGAAGCCCTGGCTGATGCACGGCGAATACGCCAAGATGATGCTGGGTCCTGCATAGGCATCCGCCTCGATCATGGCCCTCACTGCCTGTTGAGGGTTCACGTGAACGCAGATGCTCGCAACGTAGACGTTCTTGTATGTCATGGCCAACTGCCCCATATCCTTCTTCTGGGTGAGCTTGCCACTCTCGGCGAACTTGGCCATGGCTCCTTTGGGCGTGGCCTTCGAAGCTTGCCCGCCCGTGTTGCTGTACATCTCAGTGTCAAGGACCAAGATGTTAACGTGCTCCTCCAGATGAGACATGATGACGTGAAGGGCCAGGGAATGCAATGAAGAATGGAAGTGAACTGAAAGCCTCAGGATACATTCTGTAGCTCAGGTATCCTATAACGACATCTTGATGCTAGAATCCCAGCACCACAACACAGCTGGCTGTTCAACGCATTTTACAGAAGTGCACGAGCATGCTCCTCACTGGCAATCACGTGGTCCAAGCCACCGTAGCCGATGTCGTAAGCCCAGCCATCACCTCCCACGATCCAGAAGCTGCTGCGCCCGAACATGTCCTCCCTCGGTGCCAAAGTGACATCAGAAAGGCATGCGTTACGTAATGCAGCTCAGCAGCAGGTCATGGAGGGCTTTGATCTTTGGGTGCACGTCCTTCTCCTGATGCAGCTGATGGTGCATGCACGAGGAGCAGCAATGAACTATGAACTCGCCATCGCAGGTCCTTCTCCAGAAGTGGCTCCAGCTTCTCCATTATCTGGTGGTAGATGCTTCGCCCGCGCGGGAGCAGGAGATCGTGCATCTGCTCCTGCCAGGAGATACGCAGCATCGCAGGTGGCGGCAGTGTCGTAGCAGGTCGTGGCAGAGGTCCTGGCGCATGACCAGGTACTGCTTCAGGGCCTGCCGCAGCTCGTCGGACATGGACACGGACTCGTCGGTCAGGGCAGCCTGGCAGAGGCCTCGACCTGCAAAGCCAAGTAGTCTCGGCGCTGCTTGAAGGCCTCGAAGGCTGTGGCAGACCCGTTCGCCCTGCAGATCCCTGCGTCCCCCCCTTGCATACGCAGCGCCTTGCGCATGCCGAAGCCGAACTCGGCGTTGTCCTCGAAGAGAGAGTTGGCCCAGGCTGGGCCCTCACCCTTGGTGTTGACGGTGTACGGGAAGGACGGGTTGGAGCCGCCCCAGATGGAAGAGCAGCCTCAACACTGAAAAAAAGACTCACCCAAGACGAAATGGGATCATGTTCCTGGTCCTCTAAACGCAGGGTGGGGCCCCGACCTGTTGCATTGGCAATGACAAGCCTGTCTCCGAACCTGAGCCGTGGGGATGTAAGTTGTAAGGTTCACTATGCTGAAGCCGTCTTAGTAGATATACCTCCCCAGTATGACAAACTGATGAAAGCTTTCTGTACTGCTTCTCCGG